CCCCTGGATGAACGTGTTCGTTCGAGTTTTGCAGAAAGTTGCAGAAATTAGAGTGATTATTTACAAAATTTAATCCATTTTCATGGATTTTATGTACAAAAAATTAATCCATTATATTGAAAACAAAAATGGATTATAATCGATTATAATGAATTACAATGGATTTAAATTTTTCCGAAATAATCGATTTTAATTGATTAAAAATCGATTACGTGGTCTAAATTTGACATGATAATCGATTATATTGACAACATTTTAGTCAACGAAAATCCATTATAATCGATTATTACCCATGAAACTTCGGTGCGGGATGTTTTAACCAGATTAAAAAGCAAGCCTCAATGCAATTTGGCCAGAACAAAAATTTTTGTATCAGGGCGAAACTATCAGGCCTGATTATTTTCCAATGGACTTTTCCACCTCTACAAAAAAGCCTTCGCTTTGCTTTGCAAAATTAATAAAATTTTCGGAAAAAAATAAAAAAACAAGTTCCCCCACAAACCAATAAAGTTGAAATCAAAATAAATTAGCAAAAGAGGTGATATTTAAATCCCCATAACTTTACAAAAAAAGATCACAAGTGCATTTGGAGAATATTTCAGACAAGCTGCACTAAAAAAAGTCTTTTTTAGGACAGTATGATCTAAAATTTCAACAAAATCATTTGTTTAAATAAAAAAAATTGACAAAAAAACACTCCAATGGTAAATATTCAAATTTTTTTCGAGTGGTAACAATAATATTGTTTTTGGAACTTATTGGTACTTCACATACTCATTCTTCTAAAAAAAATTCACAAGCACAAATCTATTTTATGTCTGCAAACTACTTTTATTGCAATGCGGCACCAATTTTTTCATAAACTTCAAAGTGTTTGAGCGGCATCTGAGCTTTGAAAATAAACAGTATTTTCACCTCAGCAATTCAGCTTTATTACTCAAGACAAAGTTATGAAGCACCATCAATTTTCATGAGACAGCTTCGTCTGCTTTTTTAGCAAAGCTATTACCAGTTCCAAGCTAATCTTAAGGATTCGTTACTTGATTGTTATTTAGTTAAAGGGATCGATACTACAATTTTACACCCGGTAGGTTGGAATTTTTTTTTGACTAAAATTGTGTCAGTCTTCTTTGATTTAAAATCCGAATTCATATGATGTAGCTGTGAAAATCTGTCATTTTAATTTGTCCAACTATAAAAATGTGGCAATTTGAAGCTCTTAAATTAATGTTATCTTGTAAATAGTCTCGCTTTTATTGAAGCCTAAAAGTTCGTTCGGATGTGGTGAAAAATAACAAAATCGGGTTTTTATGATGCGATGAACAACAAAGCTCGGCTGAATATTTACGCAAAAATGTTTACGCAAAAATTGGCATCTTCATTTTGGAAAAAAAAAAGCAAATATGTTATTGTGAAACAAAGTTTTGCTCAAAATTACAAAATTGAGCGAAAACGGTTTTTCAAGGCGCTACAAGAACTCCGAGATGAAAAAGCAAATAAATAAAAGTAAATTCATAAACAAGAACGCGCTTTTGCGCTTTCTCCAAAACTCAATTCTATACTTACACGAGACTGCTATCATCAGGACGAAACGCTGAATGTTCCGACTACCTTGTAAGGTTATGATTTATGATTTTGGATTTATGATTAGGAAATTTATCCACCACACGTTATGTACAAAGTGGTATAGTTGCATAACGTAAAAAAAATTAAATTAAAGCAAATAGCTTGCCTCTATTTAATATTAAACATTTTTTTAAGACGGATTAAAATTCCGCTTGCGTGTTAATAGCACAAAATATATCGCGCATTAATAATCCCAATTCAACCAAATTCTTAATTTTTGAATCCTCGTAACTTTTCGAAAATAGTTCACACAAAAATATTTTTAAAAATTTCTAATTTTAATTTTCTAAAACCGCTCGAGCACAAATATACCTTCACTCTCTTCAAAAGTCGGTCCAAAAACGGTTAATGTACAAATAATATGCAACACAAAAAGCACCAACTCGTCGCAAACCAAATTTTTCAGCATCCATCACTTAGCAGTTTTGCGAAACATGCCATATCAGATCCCGCATCCTCAATGGCATGCCATTTGGTTGCTGTGCATACCTAAATTTTTCAAATAAAATTTTTATTTGTTATTCTTAACTGCTCTGCAGCGAATCATCGCTTTTTGAAATGCTACAAATTGTCGCGCGCGACCAATTCTTACTTGCAATAAATGATTGCCTCGCAATTAAATACACATAAACTGGTCTCGGTTTGTAACATTTTGACTATTTTGATATTTTTGTTGATTTAAAAAACCTTTGTAGTGCCAAACATCAAGTTTTGAAATTTTTTTTGGATAGTTTGTGGTGTGAATCAAGTCTTAGGTTCTGAAACTTAAGTGAATAATTTGTGATGTCGTGTATTAAGTTGAAAAAAAAACTCTCCAATTTAATTTGGAATTATTAAAATGGTTTTCAAGAATTAACATCTCCACCATGAAGTTCAAAAAATAAAATGACCTCTCTAGAAAAATGAACTAAAAGCTTAAGAAAAAAAACTTTCAGATCGTGAACATCTTGTTATCATTCTCTAGTTTGAATCAATTTCCGCCTAACTTCACTCAAAATGCTGGTTCAAAGAATCATCATTCCCCTTGATCCACGGGTCTTTTCGGTTATACCCCCCTCCTAAATAAATAAATTTGGCAATCCAATTTTCGAGTTGAAATTGAAAGCTCGAAAGCGAGTGAAACAAACAATTAAATACAACTCGTGTGCGATTAGCAGCTGCTCGATTAGGAAACCTAGTGATTAGGAAACAAAATTTGCCATAAACTTTTGTTTCCTAATCGAGCAGCTGCTAATCGCACACGAATGGTATTTAATTGTTTGTTTCACTCGCTTTCGCGCTTTCAATTTCAACTCGAAATTGAATTGCTAAATTTATCCATTTAGGGGGGGTATAACCGAAAAGATCCTGATCCACTTCCGACCGACTTCCGCAAAAACACGGATTTCCGTCTTAAAGAAGAACAAGACTGCTCGTATCAAGGCAAAGCCCTGAATGTTCCGACTGGCTATTAAGGTTTATGGAGCAGTAATAACATTTAAAAAATTTTAAAAATAAAACAAAATGAAAGTTTTTTTTCTAAAATTTGAAATATTTTATGAAAATCATCCCCCCACACGCCATATAAAGTACAAAAGGATAGATTTCGCTGCTTGCAACAAATCAATTATGGCAAACAAGCTTCGTTAAACCAATTTGGAACGATTTCTAAGACGGATTAAATCTCGCTTACGCGTTAATAGCGCGAAATATATCGCGCATTAATTGTCCCAAATTGGCCAAAATGGCCATCTTTAAACCCCCATAACTTTACGAAAAATGATCAAAGGTAAAATATCTTTTCAAATTTGAGCTCAAGACAACAATACCTTTCGAATGATATTTAAAAATTCCGTCAAAAAAGGCTAGTTAAAAAGTCGAAATTTGTCTGAAGAAAAAAAACCCACCCGAGCACAAATATTCCGTTACTTTCGTATCGAAAGTCGGAACAATATCCGATAGTAGAATGAGTGTGAGATCGGATCGAAAGCCATTATTGCAATCTGGCTCATAGGTTACGATCTCGACCAATCAGAGGTAAACTGTACTTATCAGAGGGACTGGTGGTTATTGGCACTGAGAACCTGTAGAAAGTTCAGTTTCTGTTATTCACATTCTGTTATTATTGTTTGAAGGTTCTTCTCTTAGACGCGTTGTGCTCTTGGCAGCGCTCCTCTATCCGTTATAGAGTATTTGTTAAATAACAATCAACCAATTGCTCTAAAATGTCGTATGCCTACAAAATAGTCTACGAAATAGTCACACTGATCGCAAGACGTTTTTCTTGTTTTTTTACTGTTATTAATTTTTTTGTTGGTTTCTTTCTTATAGCCTTTTTGAACACATTCGCAGTTTTTAATCTCTTGTGAATAATATCTTCCAATGATTTGAACTATGTTGCCATCAACTAGTACGTACCAACTTGTCTCTTCAAATCTTGAAAAGCACAATACGGAGTTCAACCTTTTTTAGTCTACCTTTTTTTAGGTCGACTAAATTGATTTTCCGAGCTCTGCCAAAGCACTAAAAAGACCCTTTTTTGGCCAAGTTTACTGCACCGCAGGCAAAATTTAGAAAAAACATGCCGAAAAACGCGTTTTGAGGCACGTTTTTGGAAAATTTTAACCAAAAAATTGAGTTTTTTTCGGCTCGCCCCCCCCCCCCCCTCAATTTTAGTCATTTTGGCGCCAAAAGCGCCTTTAACAAAATTTAAGGATCAGTCAGCCAAAAATGGATATCTGAAATTAGTACAAAGAAGGACCTTTTGGGTCGGCAGGGGGTCGAATTGCTGAGGGGGGGGGCATCCCCCGCCACCTTCTAAATCCGCCCCTGCAGACCAGCGGAAGTCTATTTAGTGTTCCATCGCAATCAGCCTGCAATTGTGTAAAAATGTTTCTGCCAATCTCCAGTCAATCACAACATGCGTTGAAAAAAATTGATGAAAGCTCTGATGTTTTTACCACAGTAATAATGAGATTGTAACTGGAGCTAAATTGAAAGTATTCTAATAAAGAGTAGAAGCAGATTCCACAGGAGAACAATGGGATCAAGTTGGGATCAAGTTAACATCCCCCCTCCCCCCCCCCCCCCCCCAAATAGACCAAGTTAAGATCCTCCACCCCATTGTTTATTTTAATTTAAATCTACTTAGCGCTGCATGTAAAATGCTCTATTCTGATTGGCTGAAAATTTGAACTCAGACCCAAGTTAACATCCTTCCCCCTAACGGATTTGGGGGGAAAGGATGTTAACTTGGACCGAACAATGGTTTTCATGCACGTTTAGCAGCAAGTGAAGCCATCGATATTTTGAGATAATGTGTTATGACAGGTGTATAGGTACTGCTGTAATGGGTTCCACGCTACGCTACGGAATCCGCGAAGCCCTGGGACCTCCCCTTGCTCAATCGTGCAACTCCTCGAATTTTGAATTAATTTTTCTACACTATCTGACAGCCAGAAATGTCCAGAGCCCATATTTAAATAGATATTTCACTTTGGTCTTTTTTTGAAAAGTGACGAGGGTTTGAAAATTGCCCGTTTGTCCTGTTTGGGATAAAAACGCGCGATATGTTTTGTGCTATTAATTCGTGAGCAAAGGTTTAATCCAACTCAGAAATTATTCAAAATTGACTTGACGCAAGCTTCTACTCCTTCTCATAAGTTGTTGTTCTGACTTACGAAGATAGAGGCTCAAGTTTTGTCTTCTTTTCAACAAAATATGCCAAGTTTTGTTATGCGAAAATTATCACAAAAAAAGCTCAATTATTAAAAAAAATATATGGTTTTGTGATTGATGGGCTGTGAGGGTTTAAACTATGCTATTTTAACAAATCTTGGATTGCTAATCCAAGCATTTCTGCCTCTCTCTTTTTAGGTGTCCTTGGACTTAGCGAAGAAACATTTATAGCCCGTGTTTTTTTTTTTATTTTCGAAAAAAAATCCTAAAATGCTTTAGGAATTAGTTAATTTTTTATGCCTATTAATTCATTTGTGAGGCAGAGTGTTTGGTCGGAAATAAGTGATACTATACGCAGTCTATACTGCTTTTTTCCAATAATTTGTAGGAAGACGTCCATGAAAAGAAAAAGTTTCAAATTTTTACTGAACTTACAGATGTTTTATGGGAGTTGTTTTCAAAACCATTCAAGACTCAGCTTTGATATCAGCAGCTTTTTGTTCCTATTTTCCAAGAAAACGACGAAATATTTGTGCTCGGGTGGTTTTTTTCCCGTAAGCCGAGATTTAATCCGTCTTAGAAATCACTCCAAGTTGGTTGAAGAAAGTTTAATTGCCATAATTGATTTGTTAGTAGTAGCAAAATCTATCACTTTGTATTTAATATGGCGCGTGGGGGGATAATTTTTACAAAAATTCTCAAATTTAAAAAAATCATATTGTTTTATCGCATTTAATTTTTTCACGTTGTTACTGCTCCTTAGATCTTAAAAGGCAGTCGGAAAGTTCAGGGCTTCACCCTGATACCAGCAGTCTTCTTTTCATTAATATCCTGTTGTATTCACAGCCAATTGATATAAGCTGTGAATCTAGGAATTTTGCTAGATAATTAATTATTGAAATAATACTAAGATCTGTAAATTGAATTGAGTGGATTGCATCTGTTTGCATGCCTAAATTTCAAATAAAATTTGTCAAAAATACTTTTGAACTTTTTCATTAGATTCTTTTAAGTGATGACCTTGTGACCAAATTGAGAAACCGATTGAACTATACAATTTCACGTCCGCTAGAGTAACCTTCTACAATTTCTCTCTCTTAAACATCCTCGTGAGTTTAGGTTCGGGATGATGGTCTTCTCATACAGTAATACCGGATAAGGGTGCACCGTCTGTTCGTTACGCTATCTATTTTCGTCCGGATAGGTTCGTACAATTTCTTAGTCTAATAACAATCCTATTCTTACTCTTATATCTTACGTTTCCTAGTCTCAATAGATCTAGAGATATAATGGTTTATAGCAAAGTTAGAAGGGAGAAGAAAGTAATTGATTTCAACCTTTATTACTAATTCTCTGAATAAAACTATGATTACTTTCAGCTTGAAAATTTATTGTGTGTTTCAGTCATGGGTCATGATTGGTTAGTTTTGAAGTGAGAAATATCAAAGTATTAACTGGTTCCACTGGGCTGATGGTTCGACCAAATTGGAGGAATAATTACCGGTTTTGATCTACACTGAAACGGTATGTTTTCATTTGCTTTTTTTAAAATTTTGTATCAAACAAGTTCGAAACTTGTCATTTTTTGTCAGTTTTTGTTAGGTTAAGTTTTTTTTTTAATTTTCGAACAAATAGAACAATCACAATTAATGGATGGAACATCAAAACTGACCTTTAATCTATCACACGTTAAACTATTTATTCAACTCAATTAAAATGACTAATTTGTACAAAAAAAACATAAGTACCGTAAAAACTTGTTAAGAAATTATGGGTTCCAACTTCAAGTCAAAGAATTGTCATAAAAATAAATGTTCACTAAAAACTACCAGATATATCAGATATATTTATTAAAAGAAATTTGTTGTGAGGTATAATTTTATAGTCTCTATGTTTCGAAAATTAGATACACAAATCACAACAATCTATATTCATCAAACTATCTAGGGAAGCAGTATTGCAGTCCTGTGCTGTAATATTGATAAGTCAAATTATGTTCTGAAGATCACACTCAGTCGAGAAAAGGCAAAAAGTTTAAAATCAAACCAAGTCAAAATTAGACAAAATTGATAAGCAATGGGGAAATTTTGAAATTGGACAAAGTTTAGCTAAAAAAAAATTAGTGAAACATTTTACTTAAATTTCAGTTATATATAAAATAAGTTTCAACACTGTCGCTTTAAATTAATTGAATTTTAAAAAAACTTGCATGAAGTAGTAAAAAACAGATCAACACGAACAAGCAGAAAAATTTTCGTAAAGTATTGTTGCCATCTCTTGAAGGTTTTTTGCTCTTTTTAAGAAAACATCAAAGTTTTCTGAATTTAATTTTAAAAATTTCTAACTTTGAAAATTATTGGCAAGCATTTTTTCATTCAGGAAAAAATTTAAGAAGTCATTTTAACTTTTTTTGGGTAACTTCAAGTTAATGTAACGTGGTTTTTTTATTGATTTTTGTCAAAAAAGTGTTTATAACACAGTTTCCATAAATGAAAGTAGTTTATACGCAGTTTTCCGTAGGAAAAAATTAAGGAAAGAAATTTATGTATATAATTTCTATTCATTGATTCTTTCCAATGCTCAAACAATAATTTCCGGGAATTCAACAATCAGTTTGTAGTTACATTCCTCTAACAAAAGTTTGTGGGCATTTTTTCACCATTTGGAAAAGACGATCAAAATTTCTGAGCAGATCGAGACGACCGGCGTAGTTGAGTAGAATTAGCAGCTGTTAGAGCATGTTTCTTAGGAATTTTTTGCAAATAACTTAGAACAGAATAAAAATTTTCTTAAAATTCTTTTAAGGTTTTATAAGGCCAAAAAAATTTTTTGTTTTCTTTTTTGGTTTTTAATTTGGTTTTTGATTATATGGTAAAAAAAACTGTCAAACAACAGACCCCGTATTTCAAACGCTGAATTGTCCAAGTAAAACTTTATGAAATATAATTCACTTCTCTGCAAAATCCCATCACTACTTGGAAAGCAAAACTTAAAATGCTGTCAATTCGTGAGACCATTGCTACTTAACCTGTGGGGTTTTTTATTTGAGACAATAATTGGCTATTGTGCTTAGCAATGAACTCAAAAATGCCATGCAAAACTCAAAAAGTTATTAATTGTCATCAAAGTAAAAATAAGGTTTTTGTCTGTGGAAAGTACCTTGACATTCAACTTTAATGCATGAAACAAGAAGCCTTCATGGAGATTTCACGCATTTGTTGGTACTTATTGAAATTTAGGGAAATGCATAATTATAAGTTTTTGGTATTTGATAGAAGTTGTTAAATTACATTTTTTGGAAAACACGGGTAGCTATTAGTTTACTGGGTTTTTGAACAGAGCAACACCAGCAAGATATAATTGATTGTGAACAGCCTTGTATCGCACTGTTCTTAAAAGATATGGACTCAATGTTTTCGAAATATTTGATTCAGATCTGTACAAATCTAAACCTAACTGAGTTGAATGATTTTTTGCTTGAAGAATTGATAACAATTTTTCAAAAAATTGCTGAAAATAATGTATTGACGTTTTTGGGCAAAAAATAAAAAAAATTCGGGTTACAAATGATTACAAAAAATTTTACAGACTTTTTTGATTTTGGATACATTGTTGAGTCAAGCAGATTCATGAGTTTGCGTTTAATTTTTGTTGTTATCAAGGATTCAGTTGCTTGGACCAAAAAAACTTTATTTTAATTAACTTTTTTTTCCAGAGAAAGTCAATGCGTTTTATTGATTCTCAGGTCAAATAACAGTGCAGAACCTCAAACAAAATCAAACTTCAAATTCAAGGCATCTATTTTTTCCGATGATTTAAGTAGTAGCAAATAATCTTATGGGAAAATTTAAACAAATTCTCGCAACTCTGCTACAATATTTTATAAGACGGAACAACAAAAAATTATTTATTTCACACAAAAGGCAACTGCTTACCTTGAAGAAAACTAGAAGATAACCTGGAGTTTAAAACTTTAAGAGCACCTATAATTTTTTTTCTAAAATCAGGTAAATTACGCCTTACCACCACTCTTGTTGCAATATCTCTTTTGTCTGATCCAGAATGTCAATATTTTATTCAACTCTTGTTATCAAGTTTCCACTGCGTCAAAGCTTTTAGTTTCGTTTTATTTTGTTATCTTCTATCAGCATCCTGCTTATGACTCTCAATTGAAACAAATATAAAATTTGCAAAACTTTAGCATTGTTTGGTTTGAATGGGTGTCCAAAAACTGCCAAAGGTGGACTCAGCAATGTAATTTTTTTTATCATTGTGGAACTTATCATCGGATCTACCCCGATATGTCCTGGAGATTTGGTATGCTCTTTCGGAGAGATGGGCTGGTATTTGGAACTCCTATTGCCAGCGCGATTTATCGAATCTCAAGTTTCCAATATGTCAACTGCAGCTTATCAAACGAGGCGTAGTCTGCCGATGCCAATACTGCATTTCCCAATGCTTCAACTTTCGATAGCACGCAACTGCAAACTTTCGATAGCACGCAACTGCAAACCTTGGTCACTCGATTTTCTGGTGTTGCGCTAGCTAGTTTTATTCAGGTTGCTGTTTGAAGCCACTGGACAAACGCGTTTTTCAGTTGCCCCATAGGTCTTTAGTTATAGACTTCTTTTGTTCACAAACAATAAGTGTTAGTGGGAGCAGTCCTGGACAACTTGTGTTCTACAAGCTCCCCGATGATTGTTAAATGCTGTTTGTGGAAATGGGCTTTCCTGAAGTTGCCTGGCATGGCAACCGCCGCATTGCTCTATAGCTTCGTGGTGGTCTTATGATAATTTTGGAAGGGCTAAGCCCAATGATTTGAAAAAGCTCGGAATCTTAAGGTGGTTGCTAGGCAACTTGCTCACCTTGAAAAATCGGGCTTCTTTTTGATACTTATTCTCAGTTTTTCTCTTGTTCTCATTCTATGGCTAAGAAGAAACGGAGGTCCGAAATGGGACCCCTAAATTGGGTGGTCCAAAAGTAGGTGCTTGCTCCTACCCTAATTTTGCCCCTGGGAGCGAGTGTGAGAAAGCAGACCCTTTTATTAGCTCACCTTAAAAAATCGGGCTTCTTTTTGATACTTATTCTCAGTTTTTCTCTTGTTCTCATTCTATGGCTAAGAAGAAACGGAGGTCCGAAATGAGACCCCTGAATTGGGTGGTCCAAAAGTAGGTGCCTGCTCCTACCCTAATTTTGCCCCTGGGAGCGAGTGTGAGAAAACAGACCCTTTTATTAGCTCAATTTGCCTTTTGAAGGTTTTATCTTGTTTCTAACAACAGTCATAGCTTTTTACAACCCTAACTAGACTAAAGTAGTTAAATATAATGAACTCAGGCCAACCTCTTTCTTTAAGTTACGGATTTTGTCCCATTTTTAGTGTCCCAAAGTAATAAAATTGCCAAAAACTCCGACCTTTGCTGAAAAGCATACTCGCAATTTGGACGAACATGGTAATTTCGGCATTCCAAGCCAAAGTTCATTCAATCTTATTTCGCTTCAATTTCATAATAAGCGCTCAAAATTTTGATTATCTGGTTTTGTCTATAAAGATTACGTAATCTTGAGCTCGTAATAAAAAAGAGCCGGATCGCCTTAACGCGCGCTTATTTTCCAGACCAAGTTGGCCTGCGGTTAATTGACACTACCCCTACCCTTTTCCAAGTAAACTTTTTTAGGCCCGCAAAGTCACAATAAAATTCAGTCTCATGTTTTGAGGCCTGTTAATTTACAGGACTCGAACAGAGATATTTCAACTTTTCAAAACAGTCTTAAATTTTCAGTTAAGTAAACATACAATTTTACGACCTTTCTGAAAAAGGTTTCATCCAAGTTGATTTTGAGGTTAGTGTACAGACCCCATACAGTTTTCACTTTTATTAGCAAATCTTTTAAATAATTAAAATCAATTGTTCCTCAAAGCTTCACAGCATTTTAAAAAAATTGTCAATAAATTTTTTTTGAGAAAAAAAGGCAAATAAATAGTACGAAAGCCAAAATACATGAAGCAAGATTTACTAACTAGATACCCGGGTTGACCTCGATACACCGAAAATGATTATCATACAATTCCATACATCAAGTGTATGGAAAAATGCTTGAAAAATGGTTGAAAAAAGATATAAACTGAATTCTACGGCTCTTTGGTTCTAATAAAACAGTCTAGTGATAAAAAAATTGAGGTTATTGTTTTTTTTTGAAAAAAAATACTCATCATACAATTCCCATTTATGACGCAAAAAAAAATTAAAATAATTTTCAAGTTGCCCCAAAATTTTCAAATTTTCATAATTTTCAAAAAAAAATTTCAAGCACAAATTTTTTTTCATGCGAAATTTTTTTTTTGTGAGCATAACGTAGTTCTGGATACACTAATGTTGGAATTTTTTTTAAAATAATTATTTTTCAATAACGCTGAAAGCTCCTTTTTACATGGCATTTTTATGTATGCCTTGATCAATATTTTTGTTTTTCAAAATAATCGTCGTTAACAATCTTTGTCAAAATTCAAAGTTTTGTAACTTTCG